CAGCTACTTTGGACTAAGTAATCAGCATAATAACGTTTAACAGCAAACCTTTGCAGAGGAAAGGAACACTATTTTTATTGAAAGTAAGCTATGGTTCCTTTCCAGATATGAAAAGAAAGAGGGTCACGTGGTGAACACTTTTTCTGAGCTAGAAGAAAGACTCAAAATTTACTCACAGAGAAATTCTTCTCTAGAAGAGGTCATGAAACACTGTCGAGGTACTGGAGATGAATATGGGATAGGAAGAAAGTGAGATCTCATTGGGTCCACATCCCCCTGATTGTAGGGACAGACTCCTCCATTAAAGAAGAATGGACTTTGAGACATCAGGATATTTCTGATGTTTGAAAGATTGTCCCTTTAATTCCGCCTCCTCCCTCCCCCCGCAAAAAAAAGCTGGATCTGACAAGATGCCATCTTTCCTCACTCATAATAGAGCTAAAAGCAAGTATTGTGTTGGGTGCATAAGAGAGAATTTCTCTCCATTAATTTCCCCCCCTTCCTCAAATGAAAAGATCTCCTAGGGTGCTAGTATGAATACCTTCCTTTTCTCTCCCATGGGCCCCTCCCTATGGCCATGGATACCACCATAAATCCCTGTGATGCTTGTTTACAAGTAATGTATTTTGACATGAAAAGATGTATGGCTGCGTACATTATTATATGATCATACAAGTAATGTTTTCCATCCTTTCTTCCACATGCAGATTCTTTGAAACAAGTCCTCACCAAAGGTAACTATCTACTAGGAAAATAACAAAGCAACAAGAGGGGAAATGTTCTAGGGGGAATGGAAAGCTAAACAGCAACCCTTTGTTCAAGTGTTGAATTGTGTTGCCCTAAACAGCTGCTGAAGCATACCTCCACTGTGTTGGAAAAGACAGTGTTGATTATATTAATTTATGTATTACTAAAGTAATTTGGGAGTTGGGCACTAGCAGACATGGGAGGAGGTTCAAGTAGAGGAAATACCACGGCAAGACAAGGCCCTGCTTGGGACGTCCCATCGACAGATACTAACATTGGGAAATCCTATCAGTGGCTGGAAAGGGCCAGACTAAAAGACAACACTGAGGCACTAATCATAGCAGCACAAGACAGGCACTAAACACCAGATCCATAGAAGCAG